AGAACAAAAGCAACACTCAATTTAATAAAAATCATCAAATCTTTCCTTACACTGAGTCATGTCTTTAACTGAGAAGGGAACATGTAGTGATATCTCTCCTTTCCCCACCTCATACTTCTCACAATTGGGACAAATCCCCCTGAATAAAGTGGGGCTCTAGTTTGTTTCCTGATCCCTTTAGTGAGAGATGGCACTGATGGAGCAGGTGTTGGTGTGGTGAAGAGGTGTCAGCCTTGGATGATGAGGAGGAGGAGGTGGGGAGAGGTGCCCAGGACCCCTCAGCTTGCTCAGGTGCTGAAGGGCCCTGTACTGTGTGGAGGGGGTGTGTGTGGGTCCAACAGTGTGGTGTCAGTAGGCAGCAGGGATCTGTTAGTATGTCTGCATCAGGTTCTATGGGCCTCAGACACTTAGAAACCACATTCACACAAATCTGACAAGAGTTCTTGTGAATGGTAGCCTTGTTTTGTCAACACCTAGCAGTTTTGGAAAGCAAGCTTTTGGATGCATCTGGGTGGGTCTGGAGATGTGACCTAGGGTATGTATGTTTCCCAGCCCATTCCTTCCTGGCACTGTTCCTTGCTCTGCTTCTTGACCACCATGAGCTAAGCAGCTTTGCTCTGTGCTTCCATGATATCCCTGCCCTGGAACCAGCCAAATATGGACTGAAACCATGGACAAATTAAACTTTTCCTCTATGCCATAGGTGTTGTGTTCTCCCAGTGAAAAGAAAGCTAATACAGATCCCAAGTCTTGGGTCTTGGTAATGCTTCATAAACCCAGATGTAGAGGATTTCTTGCCATTTCTCTTTTCTTTTGCAGAGCACATGGGGCTGGAGAATATTATTATAATGCAAGGACTCATTCTTGGGCCAGTGTTCTTGATCTCCTGACTTGTACTAAGACCAAACTGTGTTATAAAAGACAGCTTCTTTTTCTTTCATCTATCCTCCTTACATTTGCCCCAGTTATAAGGCATATTAGCAGCAAGTCCTTTTAGGATGCTCTCTTTGGCCCTCATAATGAGGTCAAAACTTTTACTGGATAGAGAAGTTGAGTGTCAAAAAGATCTAGGCTTGCAAAGCTTGCAAGCTCCCCATGCTCCACGGCCTTGTATGAGTTACAGAAACCAAACACCAAAAAGAAAAATTTTTTCTATAGCAGCCACTCAAGACCTCTAAGAAAGGAATAGCACCAGGGACAATCACAAGAAAGACAATAGAGCTAGGCATGATAGTGCACATCTGTATTCAAACACTTGAGTGGCTGAAGCAAGAGGATTGCCACAAGTTGGGGCTACATAGCGAATTCAAGACCAGCTGAACTACAGAGCAGGACCCAGTCCAAAGAAAGAAAGAAGGAAAGAAAGAAAGAAAGGTAGAAAGAAAGAAAGATAAAGACCACAGCAGCAGGCTGGATTACAACTGTCAGTACAGCAAATAAAACTCAACAGGAATATTTTCCCAGACAAATACATAAGCCAAGGTTACAGTCACAAACCACCTGCCTAGACACACTAGATTTAATTGCTAAAATTACATTCTTTGTTTTGTTAGACAATAGGCAGCACTAGGGAAAAAGGTAGCATTAGAGTGCTACCTAGTGGACCTTAATGGTAATTGCAAGTAAACTTAGAAAAGGCTGTAGAATGGGTCCTGGCTTCCCTCTCCTGGGCAAGGGTCTCAGGATGGGAGAGGGTGCACCTGCTTCCCTGGAGGACGCCTCTGCCTTGCAAGAAGGTTTGTTGTTCTGGTTGACACTGAGATGTCCTGAGGCCTCCCATGTTCATAGTTGTACCTTGGAAGGTAACTGGGCTTGTAGCTGACTTGCTATTAGGAGGTGGGGTCTGGCTGGAAGAGGCGGGTCACTGGAAGGTTTTATTGCCCTCCCTGTGTCCTGCCCCAGAGCCACCCAACAAGGACTGAAAATGCGAGCCAAAATAAACCTCTCCTCCTTTAAGTCGTGGATGTCGGGTATTTGAGTCCCAGTGATGAGAAAGTGATTAGAGTAAGTTCCATCTGCACACAGAGCCACACACACAAAGTCTGGGCTCTCTGACCCAGGGGTCTTAGACACAACCTCTGACCAAACTCTGGGCCAGAGCAACTCCTAGAAACTTAAAAATAAAATCTCACACACTCCTGGCACTGAGGCAAACAGCATTACATGTTATGCCTCCCAGTTGTGATCAGAGAAAGGACATCCAAACTATGAGTCCCTAGCTGAATGTAGGGACAAGTGTGGACACCTCAATCTGTGATGGAAAAGCCCAAGTCCCCGCTCCATGCACTACAAGGGTAAAGGGTAAGTATCTAATCGGTCCCAAGGGTAATCACAACTTCTGACCAATAAATGGCGTATGCAGACCCAGGGGGAAATTCCTAGATAACTATGCTAAAAGATAAAAACCAAGGAAAAAGACTGAATATTCTGGAAAAATCAGTTGATTTCACAGAATTCATCCAGCCATATCAGTAAACACACAAATGAGTAAGCAAACAGACAAGAATCCAGGTGGAGATGAGGAAGAACCAGTATCCAGAGTTACCACATAGTTATCCAAAATATCCAGGTCCATTGGTAACAAATTTTTGAGATATCAAAAGAAACAAATTGTGATACGTGGGGAAAACACCCAAGAAACCCAGCTTTTGAGGGGGCCCAGGTGTAGGTCAACAACTCCAAGTGAGTACTGTGTGTCCAAAGAACTAAAGGAAAGCACGCTTAAGGAATTAAAGCATGAGGACAACTTACTAACAGAGAACAACAATAGAGAGACGTTATTAAAGGATCATATTACATGTTACTGCATGGTTCCATTTGTAGGAAATGGCCAGAAAAGGCAAATTTATAAAAAGTAGATTTTGGTGCCTGCAGGAGACTGACAGGGAGGTACAGGGGTTTCTTTTTCTGGAGATGAAAATAGGAATTTTGATGGTGATGACTGTGGTGAACTTAGATTAAAAATATATTAAAAATCATTTAACTATGTCCTTTAAACTGGTGAATTTTATGATATATTTGAATTATATTTCAATAAAGACACAAGAAAATCAAAACCAACCAACCAAACAATAAACACAAGAACAAGGTCAGGCTGACGAGAGAGAGAGGACCCCAGGGCCCGGCTCCCCAGGATTTGGGCTCCCTGTAGGTTCTGTCTCACTGTGCTGGTAGCAGGACCCTCCCCAGGGTGATGTCTTGGATGCTGTGCCCTCACTGTGACCCAAATCTGTGGTCTGAAAGCCCTTGGCCCTGACCCCAACACCCCGGGTCCAGGTTCTTCTGTGATGCGTGAGCAGCAGCAACAACTGAACAAGACGAGGAACATGTGTTAGTGGCAGATGGGTGGCCCCAGCCTGGTGCGCTTTGTCCTGCCAACCACTCTGTCCCCTCCACCAAGCCTCAGCTCTGGTTTGTGCCGAAAGAGCACTGCAGTCATTGTAGGGCCACTGGTTCTCCTCAGGGCTGAGGTCGTTTCCATAGCTGCTGTGCAGAGAACAGGGGATGGGGTCGTGGGTGTGAGTGCTCAGGCGAGGGCCGAGTGGAGCTGGGTGTACTTACTTGCTCACAAGGAGGGGACATTGTTCACCTGGCCCAGCCACCCAGTGAGGGTCTTGGTCTGTTCATGACTTTTTTTCTTTTTTTTTTTTTTGGTACTGTGGATCGAACTTGGGATTGAACTTGCACTTGTGAGGCAGGTGCCAGAACCACTGAGCTAAATCCCTGGTGACTTTTTTTCTTTCTTGAGATCAGTAAGACTGTTTGAGAGCTTCGCTTTGCTAACAGCTGTGATCAACTTAGCTCTCTAATACTGGATCCAGAGCAGACTCTCTGTTAACTGGTGACGGTCCCCATGAAACCTAGATGTCACCTGGAGCTGCCAATGCGCGCCTCCCTCTGACACACTCTAACCAGGGTCTGGTATTGGGCTTGCAGGAGTGTTCATGACACAGTTCTGAGCTCACACCTTCAGGTTTGCTCTTGGTAACCTGGGGATGAGGCTGCTGTGAACTCAAGGCCCACCACTCCCCTGTCACAGTGATCTGTGCTGATGGCATTCAGATGGGATCCACGGATGATGGGCAAGACCCTGCCTGCCTGGCCCACTTCCCATACTGTCTGCTCTCCCGACTGCGCTGCTCACCATCAGATCCTGCTGTCCTCCTACTGAGGGCTGCTGGGGATGCATCCATCAGCCACTGGCCCTTGGATGTGAGAGGAAGGTGGGTGATTGCAGGGGGACCTGAGTGACTGACACTGCCAGCTTCCATGGGGCCTCATTTCTACACCTTTGCAAGAAAGGCAACACACAGGGGTACTGAGAAGCCTATGGCAGAGACAGGTGCCCCTGTAGACCTCGAGGCCCATGATCTGAGACTCACTAAGCCCTTCCCACTGCTGCTTCAGGCTGCCTACGAGGAACAGTGTGCTCTTCATTCAGGGGCCTCAAGGACAAATGCATCACTCAGAAGTGGACACCACCCTACAAGTCCTTTACTAAGAAATATCTGGGTTCCAACTCCATTCTTCCTTCGGGTTCACTTCCCTTCCACAGCCCATAGCACAGACCTGGCCTGCCTACCACCCTCCTGTCCTCTTCCCTCTGCCTTCTTCCCTCCCACTGAGAACAGCCCTGTGTGTACCACTCGTCCAGCACCAGGCACCCACATGGCAAGGCCACTTCTGCTGCGGCTGCCTGGGCTCTGCCCCAGGTACTGCAGTCACACGGCAGCCCTGCAGGCCATGCTGGACTCTCGCCTGCATGAGCTCTTGGGGGGCTGGGGCTGGGAAGCCCTCAACCGTGCTTCTGGAGTGAGCAGCACCCAGAGTGGCATTGGCCCCTGATAGTTCTGGGATTCAGAATGCGCCTCCTGGCAGCTCCTCTGGCTCTGGAGCCTGCAGCTTCTGTCCCCACTGCAGCCATCTTGGTTGGGACCCATGGCTGCCTTCCATACCTGCCTTTGACCCCTCATCTACTTTGGCTGCTACTGTGTCCCTGGGCTCTCAGAGCTGGGGTCACAGCAAAGGCTCTGGGTTGGGAGCAGGGGTAGTCAGGTGATGTTTGCCAGGGCAACATCCCCTGTCTTGTGGGAGCAGAGACAGTGACCCTGCAACCAGTGTGGACACAGCAAGGATTTTCCCACCCATGGCAGAGAAGGGGAACCCTGTGCTTGCTGGTGTCTTCCTGGCCGTCACACCCTCGATGGGCCTGATGGCCCTGAGAGCAGACACCATGGGGTGTCTGGTTACCCTGGAGGACCTAACCATGAAGACCCCATGCTCCATGCATGACAGGAAGCGCTGGATATGGACTGTGTGTTTCCCTCGCTGAGCTGCTCAGTACAGGTCGGGAACCTCGAGTGAGGACAGCAGGTGAGGGGCCTGAGGGACTGGGATGATGGGTGCCGTGTCAGAGGTGGTCTCCTCTGGCTCGCTGTCCCCGTCGCCCAACGCCTCAGCAAGGGATGGGATGATCCTGACTGTGTCGTCCTGGAAGTGCACCTGCTTCTTCTTGGCCAGGCCATCTGCAGGCTGCAGAGGCAGCTCGGTCATGGTGTCAGGGTGCGGCAGGCTGCTGGTCCCCTGGGTCCCCCACAGGAGGCTCTTCATGCTGGTGAAGAGGGAGCCAGAGGTCCCCTTGAGGGCCCCGTGGAAGGTGTAGGTCTGCTCCATGTCCCCAGAGCCTGTGGTGCTCACAGCGCTGCCCGAGGGATCTGTGTACTGCTCAGGGGAGGCCGGCCCCAATGCCCTGGCCTTGGTCTTCTTGAGCTTGCTCAGCAGGAAGTAGGCAAGGCCCGTGACAATGAGCATGGAGCCTGGTGACACGGGGGCAGGGTGAGACATCATGGAGCCTGAGCTCCTCCCACAGCCCCCCAGCAGTCAGGTATAAACAGGCCCAGGCTGAGTGGGACCCTTCCTGCCCTTCCTGCCCTCCTACCTGGGATGGTCACATGCCACACCAGCGCAGGGTGGAGGAAGCAGGCCACTGACAGCAGCATGTAGGCCAGGAACTTCTGGAAGCAGCCCAGCCAGTGGGCCTTCTCCCTGGCCATGTGGGCCAGGGACCCAGGCTGGCACCTGGGAGGGAGGGAGGGTTAGCAGGGCTTGGAGAGCTGGGTAGACACACTGTGTGGTCAGATTGCTGCAGTGGCCCAGCTGAACACCTCATGGGCTAGTGTCAGAGACACCTGGGGTCTTCACTGTGGTTCCGCAGTGGGGGCTGGCCCAATCCCTCCAGAAAGGCTGCCTGTTCTGTCTTTGTGGGCAAGGGCAAAGGAAGGTGAATGGGAGGCAAGGGGCCCATAGGAAGTCTGCCGCAGAGGGGAGGTATGTGCATGGGGCTGCCTGGCCCTTGGGGCCTGGGTAGGTGGGTTGTGCCCTGCTCACTTGGGTGCAGGAGGAATTGACCTGGAAGGGGTTCCTTCCTCACAGGCATACAGAACCATGGATGGGCTTGGTGGCCAGCAGCACCAGGCCCAGGCTGGCTTTGGGGAAGTGGTGTGAACCAGGATTACTGAGTCCTCTGCTTTGGCTCCCTGCTGCCCTCTGCTGGCAGTGTGCATATGTATGCGTGTGCGTGTGTGTGCGCGTGTGTGTGTGTGTGTATGTGTGTGTGTGTGCATGCAGTTGCAAAGCTGTCAAATGCTCTTTCACCACACACCCATGGTTCTTCCCCCAGACTCTCAGTGGGTGCAGCCAGAAGGGCACAGGGGTCCATGATGCTGCTCAGGACCTGGGCCTGGGTGGTGGGCAGAGCAGTGGGGCTCAGGGCCTGGTTCCCTTTATCTTTTTTTTTTTGTGCTGTATCGGGGATCAAACTCAGGACCTTGCACTTGCAAGGCGGGCACAGTGCCACTGAGCTAAATCCCCAGCCTGAGGGCCTGGCTCTCTTGCTGACAACATGGGACCTGGCAGTGCGGGCCCAGGCCCTGGTCATGCTGATGACAGAGTCCTCCCCCTGGGCATTGGCAGGGCAGCAGTGGGGCCTCCTGGCAGAGGCTCACAGCCCTCGACCTGTCCTGGTACTCACACCCAGCCCGGCTCCCCAAGCTGCCCTTCTCTGGGTGCTCACCCAGGGACAGCTGGACATTGGACCCTTGGGCTGTTCCTGGGCAGGAAAGCTGACTGCCTGGGATTGGGGTGAGTTCAGCCCTGAATGAACATGTCACTTGGTTTCTTGGCTGGGAGCAGGGAAAGGGAGGTTCTCAGCTCTCTCCTGTCCACACTAGCCACAGAGGCAGAAGCTCTGGGGTCTGGGTGGGTATTGATGGAGCCATGTCTGGGGACACTTACTTAAAGCAGACAGCCAGCAGCTGCACCAAGAAGTAGGCCCCTTCGCACACAGCAATGGCAGTGCCTGTGAACCTGTGGTGGGGACAGGTGATGGTGACCCTTGCATGTCCCTGACTTCCAGCAGAACTTCCGTCACCCAAATCACATCCCTGGTGCTGCCTGGTGCCAGGGCCTGGCAGGAGGTGGTGTGAACAGCAGGAGCATCTCTGCTGCAGTCACCTGGCAGGACCACGTAGACTCGCAGACCCTGAACTTCTCCCTCTTTCTCACATCCAGTTACTGGGAGCATCGGCTGTGTTCCTCAAACCTCCAGAGCCACCCCAGCCTTTCTGGCCCCGTGGCACTTCCTGGGCCCAGCTGGCCTGGCCTTCCCCATCCCAGGCCTGTTCCTGCTCCTCTGTGGTCACACTCCTGGCCCCTTCTGACCCTGAGTCTGTTCTTACGCCTCCCCATCCAGAGTGCTGGTTCTCCGGGGACCCTCGAGTCAGACCTCCTGCATGTGTGGTAAATCACAGATTCAAGCACCCCCTCCCTGGACCTTATGTGCCACTACTGTGGGGAATGTTGCTTAGGGGTTTGGAGGGCCTTGCTGGCCCACAAAACCAAATCTCTCAGCATCCTTCCAAGTTGTTCACTGATTCCCCTATTCCCTGAGTGCCTAGGGAGCTATCAGGTGCCTCAGGGCCTTTCCATCCTTCTCAGAAGGGCTCTCCTTCCTCCCTCATCTGTCTGGTGACGTCTTCCTTTTCTGTGCTGAAGGACGTGACCAAAGCTGCCATTTGTGGGCTACAGGGAGTGCCCTGGCCATGCCTGCTCCCTGGGTAAGCACTCTGTGAATGTGCCATGGGATGAATGGATGAGTGAGTGGGGCAAGATGCTTCCCCTTAAGGCCATGGATGTTGTCTGGTTCTGATCAGTTGTGTGACATGAGTGGGAGACTTGAACTTTCTGTGACTTGCTTTCCCCTCTATAAACTGAGGTAATCCCAGTGTTTCAACCTGCAAGTTGTGAGTCGATGCTTATAAGGTTCCCAGGACTGTGGTTGGCACGTGATGACCACTATGTAAATGTCAGTTACTCCTGCTCCCCACCCCTTTCTCACTGTGGGCGTGTTAATCTCTACTTTCTCCTCTCTCTATGCCCCCGCCTCCAGTGTCTGCCCAACTCTTAACCCTCAGTTTTAAAATGATGATAACTAACATTTCTGGTGTGATTGCTACGTGCCAAGCACAGTAAAAGCTTGACAAGCACTGGCTCCTTTGGTCTGGGCAACCCTTTTCTGCTCAGCATCTAACCACCTCCAGTTTATCTTCAAATGAGGATACTGAGGCACAGAGAGCTCCAGCTTCCTGCTATGGCCACCTGGCTGTTCAGGAGAAGGAACAAGACTTGGACCCAGTGCTCAGATGCCAGAGACATGTGACTAAGAAGTACACCAAGGCCTGGGCTTTGCAAAGCCAGAGGTAGAGCCTGATTCTGTCATCTGGGGTGGAGGGGAGTTTGAGATTGTGGAACCGAGAGGCTCCTGCAGATTTCCAAATGTGGGGTTGGAGTGTAGGGAATGGAGGTTCAGGCTTAGGAGCAGGGGGCCTGGGTCTCCTCAGGACACCCGGAGCACTCAGGGAGAGGCAGGGCTGGGTGGGTGACATCTGCGTTAATGCCAGGGCCTACAGTGCTCAGTGCTCTAGAGGCTGGGACAGAAGACATGGGAGGCAGCAGAGCCAAGAAAAAGCCACCTTGGGCAATGGGGACTTCAGCCCGATGCTGGGGGCTAGGGGTAGGAAGCCAGTCTGGGCAACCCACAGTAGGCCAAGACACCTGTGCTCCGTGGCTTGGCAGTGTGTGGTGTGGCTATTCAAGGGTGTAAATGAGTGGTGTGAAATATGCTGTGGGCTGAGGTGGAGGGAGCCATTGAGGTCTTCAGAGAGACCCATGTGTAGAGGTACAGTGTGGACAGGGCAAGGAGGGTGGCCTGTGGGCCCAAAGGCATCCAAGTTGCTGTGGTGGGTGAGGCTGCTCAGGATGCAGCAGCCATTGCAGTGCGGGTGCCACATGGGGTGGGGAAGTGGAAGGTACAGACTAGGACCTGGCAGACCACTACAGCTCTCAGCTTAGGACCCTTGGGCATCTGGGGGCTGGAAGGAGCAGCTTCCTCTACCACCAGGAGAAGATGGCCGGGAGACGCTTGGGAGGGGGACCCCAGTTCTGATACCAGACATCACTGCACTTTGGTCTCTTTCCTGTCAGGGGCAGCTTGTGGTAGAGGAGAAAGGACAGTGGTTGCAGAACCTGGACCTACTGCTCAGAGCCTGCTGGTGTGGGCCAGCTCCTGCTCTTTTTGAATTTCCTCCTTTGCACAATCAAGACAATGTGCTCCTCTCCCAGGGACTGGGGGCCATCAGGGTTCAATGAGGTGATGCAAACAAGACATTGAGCTGCACTTGGCCTTGGGGGGGGAGCTCAAATCTACAGCCTATGACCCCATTCCCCACCTTCCAAATAGGAGCTCTGTTCATGTTTTCTGAATAAAGAGATGATTAAAGGGATGCATGGGTGGGTGTGTGGCTAGATGGAGAGGTAGGTGGATGGATGGATGAATGGTTAGATGAATGGATGGGCGAGTGGATGGATAGGTGGATGAATGAGTGGATGGATAGATGGATGGATGGATGGATGAGTGGATGGATGGATGGATGAGTGGGTGGGGGGGATAGGTGGATGAGTGAGTGGATGGATAGATGGATAGATGGATGGATGGATGGATGAGTGGTTGAATGAATGGATGGATGAATGAGTGAATGGGTGCATGAGTGAATGGATGAATGGATGAATGAGTAGACAGATGGGTGGTTGGGTGAGTGGATAAGTGGGTGGATAGAGGGATAGTTGGTTGATTTAAGGGATGGTCTGTCTAAACTAGGAGCTATCGTAGAAGCCTCCTGGGTCAGGAGGCTTCCCCCACTCTGGGAGGGAGTCAGTAGCTCTGGGTCAGCACAGGTGGACAGGTGTGGGGCAAATGGGCAGCCCTGAGGCAGGGAAGGGCGGGTGCATGTACTCACAGCAGATAGAAGGCCAGGCTTTTGAACTGCCCCCGGAGGAGGGTCTCGGTGCCCACACCGATCAACACTGAGGGATGAGAGGAGAGGTAGAGTTGCTGGGCGTCCACACTGTGGCACTGCCCCGAGGAGGGCCTTGGCTGTGGGGAGCTGTCTCCCAGGGTGGAGGTCGGTCATTTTTTCTCCATGTGGAGGCTGGGGCTGGGAAGGCACAGGAGAGCCCCAGGGGCCATCTCCTCCTATCTCCTCAGAGCATCTTAATGGTGCCAACAGCCCGGGGGCTCCTTGCCCTTGACATGAAATTGTCACCCTGCACATGCTGTCCTTTCAAGACCCTCACTGTCTTGTGCTGTGTGGCTGGGCCTCAGTGTGTGGTCAAGACAGGTCTGTCCCACCTTTCTCTCCCTGTGCTGGCTGCTGGAGTGGCCTTGCTCTCTCTTAGGGACCAGGTGGCTGCATTCGCCCACTCATGGCTCAGGGCCTAGTGCTGACCACACCCGGGTCTGGTGCTGAGCACTGCCAGGGTGCTGGAGCCCTGACCCTTGCTCTGGCCACTCCTCATGGGGACTTTACCAGCACATCTTTGACCTGTCCAGCTGGGCTTGAGGATGCTGCAGTGACAGCATGTGGCTCCTGTGCAGAGGGCTCTGCCTCTTGTGATCACACTTGTGTTTTTCTGGTGACATCACTGTGAATATGTCCAGCCTGCCTCGTCCCAAAGGAGCCAGTGTCCCCCTCATCCATGCTGCTTCCCTGCATCCTGGCCCTTCATTTATGCCCACAGGGATGCCCTGTGAGCTCCCCTTCCATACCCCTTAACTCCTGCTGAGATGCCACCCCTGCACAGTAGGGAGGAGCCACCTGCTCCCCCTGTGGCGGTCATTGGGAGAGGGTAGCCGAGCCCCTCGATGTTGGCAGTGTTGCTTGAATATTGGATGGAGGGCCTGTGTCCCCTCCCATGCCTCAGGGCAGAGTATGCTAGGCACCCCACTCCACCCCGGCTCCTGCCTGGCTGCTGGTGCTGGGCAAGGCTGTAACAGTGACCACCCTTCCCCACCAGGGTGTCAGACTTGCTGATGAGTGCCTTAGGGCTCTCTCACACACACATCACCCACACACACAGGTCACCCACACATCCCCAACCTTCACACGTCACAATGGGGCACAGTGAAGCTCCAGACCTTCACCACATTATCTGGGCTGGGAGCAGAGGACAGAGGCCCAGGCCTACTACCCACCAGGATGGATGAGTATGTGACTGTGCGAGTGAACATGCATGTGTGAAAATGTATTGCAGAAGCATGTGCAGGTGTGTGTGTGTGTGTGTGTGTGTGTGTTGTGTGTGTGTGTGTGCTATGAAGTCACAGTCCACTCATCCAGCAGGTACTATGCATCCTACCCTGTCACACGCAGCACTTTCCATTTACCAACTTGTCTGATCATCCCAATAATGACCCCATTTTACAGGAGAGGAAACTGAGGCACAGACAATGTCAGCAAACTGGCTAACTAGTCACAGAGGCCCAGGTCAAATGCTGCATTTTAATCTCACATTTTCAGTTAATAGCTGAGTTGCTCTGTCTCCCTGGGACTCAGTTTTCCCCTTGTACCTGAGGCACAGAATGGCTATGAGGATTTTGTGAGCACCACACAGGTGTGCAGTGAAGTCACTTGTTAGTTTTCTGAATCAAGGGCTCACCCTGACTGCAGAAGGAGGACTACCCATCAAGGGATGGGGCCTAGGCCTCAGGAAGAATGTCTGACTCAGGGTTGAGCTTGTGCCTTCTCTGGGTGGGCAGGGCTCCCTCCATGGCCATGGTCTGGCAGAGCTGTGTGGGCTGGGACAGATGCCTGGCAGGTGACAGGAAGGGTCTTAGAGCCCAGCCCTTCTCCTGCTGTGTAGCATTGGTGTCTGGAAAGCTGTCCCAGTGGGGAGTCATGGGAGCGAGAGGTGTCTGGGTCTGGGAGCTCCCTGGCTGTGCCACTCACTGCCTGACCCCAGGTGCCACCATACACCTGAGCTGCAGAGCTCTCCAGGTGCCTCTCATTCGATCTGCACATCTCCTGGGTGGGAACAGGCAGTCCTTGTACTGAGGAAAAGCCCAGCAGGTCCCCAGGGTGCAGCACCTGGCCAGGCTCACAGGGGCCCAGGGCAGGGAGAAGCCCAAGCCTGGGAGAGAGTGATGGTGGTGGCAATGGTCGGGGAAGGACAGGGATGAGGATGGTGTTCCGGGGGCCTTGTGAGCCTTGGAGGGAGCCCCACGTTGGTCTGGATAGTGGAGCCCTGTACCCCCAAGCTCAGCTGTGGAAGGGTCTGCAGTTTGCATCAGCAAAGGCAAGAAGCCACACCTCAATGCCTCCCTGACCCTGGCATCCATGGCCTCCCTGTCAGAGTCCAAAGCTGGGGGCTGCTGGGACTGCAACCCCAGAGGACCTGAGGTCCCCTCCATGCCAAGGGTGGGGAAAGCACAGGGCTGCATAGGAAGTGCCCATCTGAGCCTGGGCAGACAGTCCAGATCCACAATCAGAGAGATGCCAAGGATGGGAGCAGCCCCAGTGCTTGGGATGGACCCACATCATTTACACCAGGGCAAAGCTATTTCCTGCTCCCCAAATCTAGGCTCATCAGTGTGACTTGCTTTAGACCTTGGGGTGCTACTGATATGGAAAAGTTTTAGATAACTTAATAGATTGAATATTAAGGTAGTTGTAGAAGCAAAATAAGTAATGTGTTCCTTTAAGATTTGCTTTTCCCTTAACTCCTTGTTTAAGGTGAGGATTATCAGACTCTAACCTGTAACTTCATTAACCTAACAAAGTTACCGTGGCAGGGAGAATTTACAATGTATGTTGCCTATCTTGTGTCTCTGACTTGTAAATAGGAACTGGAATTGTATTTACATATCAAAGACCACTAGGGATGAGATAATGGCTAAAAAGGGTATAAAAAGGGAAATGCTGAACAAAGGGGGCCAGATATGGACCAGACTGGTTTCTGGTGTTCCTGCCCTCTGGAGAGAAGAAATTTTACTATTTTATCCAAATTCTGTGTCTCTGTGTATTTCTTTCTGAGATTTCTGCAACACTACCAGACATGATGCAAGCACAGACATTCAATGACTCCAGAGTCATTGCCTCGATCACATGCCTGGGTTAGGCTGCCGGAGCATGAGGGACTCACAAAGCAGGGCCACCCTTGCACTCCAGTGCTAGTCTGGAGAGGCTGTCTGTCCCCCATGCAGGGAAACAGTCTGCCTACTGCAGCAGTGCTGTCTGGCCTGTTCCCCTGATGTGAGTGAGGATAGCAAAGCTACGGCCTGTAAACTGTGGAGGTTTCCCAGCACTGGTTACACAGCACATCCTGCTTAAGACAGCTTTACTGAGGTGTTCTTAACCTGCACACACTTCACTTACACAAAGTACAACTTGACAAGCATTGATGTTTGTCCATACCCACACAACCACCACTACAATCAGGAGAATGAGCCTTCCCCAAATTTCCTGCTATGGTATCATTGTAACCCTACCATCCCAGCCTTCTGTGTTACTGGGGATTTGTCTGTATTTTCCACCAGCCTTAATCAATGGAGTCAACAGTATGTACAGTACTTATCTTTGGGCTGTCTTCTTCCTCTAGCACGATTATGATTAGTTCCAGATTCATGGATTCATAGCATGTGTCTGAAGGTCACACCTCTCTCAAAGAGTGGTGTCCATGGGAGGAGAGGCCTCAGTTTTCTTCCGACTCACTTACATATGGGCACATGGGTTGCTACTGTAAGTGTGGCTGCGATGGTCACTCATGGTGCTCTTTGCAGGGTTACATGCTTCCTTTGCTCTTGGGTAAATGCCTTTCAGTGGACTGGCTGGACCCTATGGCAGGTGTACGCTGACCTTTTGAGAAACTGTCCAATCTTTTCAAAGCAATCACACCACAGTGCATTCCCATAAGCAGTGTGTGCGAGTTTCATACCCTCATCCACAGGGCAACACTTGGCATGGAGGCAGCCTGTTCATTCCAGCCCCTCTAATAGGCATGTAATCGCACCTCATGATGGTCTGAGTTTGCATTTCCCCAATGGCTAATGATTGGAACATCTTTCCACGTACTTATCTGCCATCCTTGTCAGCTTCAATTTTCACTGCCCTAACATATTTTGAAGAGAAATTTAAGAGAAAGTCTTAAAGTTTGAGGATATCCAATGTATCCATTCTTTTATGAATTGAACTTTGTGTCCAAGAAATCCCCACAAAACCCATCACTCAAGTTGCATCCTATTGTCTAGGACTTTGGTAGTTTCAGGTTTTACATGTAAGTCTAGGATCCATTTTGAGTATATGGTACAAAGTATATACAGAAGTTCACTGGCAAATGAATATTCAATGTTCTACCATCTTTGGTTGTCAAAAGTTACATTTACCACACTGAACTGCCTCTGTGCTTTTGTCAAAACTCAGTTATTTATACATGTCTAGAGGTCTTTCTGGGCTCTCTTCTGACTCACTGATCTACTTGTCTTTCTTTGTATCAATACTGCACTGTCTTGGTTTCTTTGCTTTAAAATAAGACTTAAAATCAGGTCAATATTAATCCTTTCATTGCTCTTTGCTTTTATAGTTGTTTTGGCTATACTAGGCCTTTTACATGTCCATGTGAATTTTAGAAACAGCAGTCAATTTTCTCAATCTCAAGCCTTCTGAGATTTTGATCGGTACTACATTAAAGCTTTTTAACAATATTAAGCCTTCTGATCCATAGACAAAACATATTTTCTGCATTTATTTAGGATTTAGATCTTTGCTTTATAATTTTTCAGCAATGCCTTTTGTTTTCTAGTGTACGGGTTTTTAAAAATATCTCTTGTCCAATTCATCTCTAAGTGTTTCATATTTTTGTATTATATTTAAATATGCATTGTATTTAAATATTATAATTTTCTAATCTTTGCTGGTGTGTGATGACACAACTGAATGTTGTACAGGCATTCCTTGTTTAACGGCTTACCTGTTTAATAACTGTTTGCACTTAGGACTGAGGCACTCTGTTCAGACTTAAAGCCCTCTGCTGAG